AAATAAAAATTTTTTTATTATAAATTTTTTTAATTGTTACTATAAAGTATTTTTCAAATCATTTATTGAAAACATTTTTTTCTATCTTTTACAGTTTCGATATTCGCTTTGAAAGAAAAAAAACGATTTTGTTTAAATGTATTGCACAAGATTGCATCTCTTAAAAGTATGTGTCTCTTATTTTTGTCTAGAAAACAAATTTAAAACTTATTAAAATCAAAGATGGACATTTCCATAGATTTTCTTGTTAATAATATTCATATATGTGAATTGATATACAAATATAATTATTATTTTTCTATACACCGATTCGGTTTGTCGGATTTGAAATCCAATCGTAAACTGAAATAATGGTCTCACAATTAAATTAATTGATCGTCGATTTCAGTTTATGATTGTGTTTCAAATCCGACAAATCGAATCGGCACACTGTAACAATCGCTAATTGCATTTTTGTATATTTTATTAATATAGTTGCGAACATGTTCTCTTATACTTAATTAATACGTCGCGCATTTCCTCGCCTCTCTTCACTGCTCAAAAAGCAGCATCCTTAACCGTTAGTTAACCTTGAACAGAGTGTTAACAATCCCCAACGTATCGCTACGATTTCTTTTAAACGTTGTTTAAAGATTGTTGTATTCCGAATAAGTCGAATCTTTAAGGCCGTTTTTAAAACGTTGTAAAATAAGAATACGTATCGATCACGATATGTGAGAAGCGTTCGCGATAAATGATCGAAGCGAAAAAGAATTGCGATAATTAAGCGTCGAAAATGAAAAATTAGCACGATAGATAAAATTTATATATAATAATTTATATATAATTTATATATAATAAGAGTAACATTACGCGCTATTACGTAATACTTCGTACGCTATATAATTACTTTTTATCTTTCCTTTTTTTTCTTTTTTTTTCTTTCCTTATCCGCCTCACGATGTTTTTTTGCATCACACAGTGCACTCGAGCTGTACGTGATTGACAGAGTGTTGGCAGTTTAATTATTACGCATGCAAATTTTCGAGGCACACGTACTGCCACTGTACTTGAACCAGGTATGTCCATCTGTTTCAAGAATTAAAAGTAATCCTTCATCACGTAACGTCAGATAACAAGTGAGATCCCGCGATTGTCCTTACGCGAGTGCATATCTATCTCGTGTGGCATTATTACAGCAATTGCCGCTCTATCGTATTAAAGCCCTCACAATACACGCCCATTCGTCTTTTTACTCTCATTATTTCTTCTCGTTATTGCATTGCATCCGGCAATGGAAACGCACCATCCGGTAATTACGATCGCAGTACGAGTTCTTTACAGAAATTAGGTCGTAATCAGCCTAACCGTCTTTGAATCGAGTAATGCTTCTTTCTTGCCTAAAGGTGTGATATCGCCCTTGATTTATTGAAGCGGAAGAAGCTTTCTCGGTTTTAACGGAGGATTGAGAGGATTGAGAAGATATTTTTGATATTTTTATTTATCGACAACGGAAAAAGGCATTTCATGTTTAATATTACTTAACTGTACAAATACCATTTCTATCTATATATGTATTCTGAATATTATTTTTATCTGATCTTGTAGTTTGTTATTTGTGTATCTTAAATATTTTTCTTAATAACTACCTTTTATCTTAATATTTTTTTTATACGTACAATACATTAAAAAATTTAAAAGTTTTAGTATCTATTTTGCATTCTTTTTTTACATTATCATAATCGTTGTGGATAATGGAAGTGCTTAAGTATCGATAATTGTTTGTTATTTTAAGAACAAACGGGGGATATACACTTTCAGGAAATGTTCGAGGAAAAATTCACGAACGAAGAATCTTTGTTCTGTAATATTCAAGTGTAAATTTTATTTAGCGATCGCTCATGCGTGCAGTGTCAATTTTCTGTGCAGTGTCAGTCAGCTGATGGAGGCGATCGAGAGGGAATGCGGTGTGGTAGCGGCGCATCAGGTGCTGCTTATGAGCGGAGGCGAATGCTTGGAACCAAATGCACGTGTGTGCTCTTACTCGGCTGGAACCGACACAAATCCTATTTATCTGTTCAGCAAGGCCGCCATTGAAAGCAGCCTCCCGCCTACGCCGAGTATAGATTACGGTTCCGGTGAGTAGCTTCTTTTTCTTCACCCTCTTATCATATGAAATGTAGACGATAATTTCCTAATAACGCCAACTTACGCAATTACGGAATTAATACGGATTATATTAATCGGGAGGTATTTTATTACAGTGAAATGTACCTTATTTATGAGAACAAAATTATTAGAATTAAAATTTCTCAGTTTTATAAGTGTGCCGGAAGAAACGTATCGTTATTGATGACGTGTAAACGATCATGTTTTTATACGTTAATCGATATCTATTATAATAACTTGTACGTGCGGCAATATTTATATACGAGCTTATTCTCTCGATGTGAACCGGTTCTTTCCATATAAAGGGGATAATTCGTTCGAAATATCCGATAACGTATCATTAGATTCTCACGGTTTAATTCGGTCAGCACTGCGAATATGGATGATTAATTTATTCAACGAGGATGAAAATTTCCATCATATCGTGCGATTCATCTCTAGGAGAGTCATGTTGAAAGGATGACGATCAGTGTAAGATCTTTATCTCTGATTTTCTCGTAGAAGAAAAAAGTGATATTAGTGTCGAAATATTTGTGGTTATCGAGATTTCTATCCAAGAATATTAAATTTTAATACGTCATGTATTTTTTCTTTTATTTTGATATCGCGATGGAGGAAGTTAAGAAAACATGCGATGTGCTCTTTCTATAGATAGAAATGTACTTCTGATCTCATCCCGTTATCCTTAATTCCCGAGAGTTTAGTTAGACTCGGTCAGTTGCGCGATGTCCCATTTTATATTTTCTTTTAGTCACTCTCTTGTTTGTTTTGTCCCGTTAGAGTACCGTGTGTCCGCGACTCGCTTCATTCTCTCTTTCTCCCTGATCATATGATCGATCGTATGATCGAGGTGCGAGCTATGATTTAGCAGTACGCATACTTTTTGCGGTTAGTCGTACTTCTAGACTGTTCGTGATTCGACCGCAAATCACGCCCCTCGCAAATACGCACCATCGACGCGAGCTATCTAGCGATTTAAGTACTTTTAGATCAACAACTTTTTCCAAGAACAAGAATTTAAACTAGCAGAACTTTCGTATAAATTGTACATTTAAAAAAGTCTGATAATAGCTACTGAATGTTGAGTGAAACAATTTCATTCAAATATTCAGTTATGTACATATAACCGCGAAAATAATTTTCCTTTTCTAAATATTTAATAATGATTATCAAACGATAGGTTATATTATTATATTTGGTAATATTGACCTAGTATTTAAAAAAGGAAAATTATTTTTATTTATATTTAGAAACAGAAAATTATATTGATTGAATGTTTGATTGAATTTACTTTACTTAAATTATAGTAATTATTCTCTTTTTTTTAGTGAATACTGATAAATTTTTATTGCGTCATGTGTATTGTCTTGAATTATCTTACATTATATTTATAATTATTGATTGAGAAAAGGAGAGAAACGATTTACGTAAAGAAATATCTAAAAAAAGTATAAAAATGGTTTTCATATATGTATTTCATATATGTATGTAAATAACATCAAAAGTCTCATGTATTTAAATTTTTATAGTATTATTAATATTTAATGTGTAAGTCAAGATCGTAATATCCATGACTTGCTCTGCATAAAAATCGTACATGCGACTGCTACAAATGCAACTTACTAATAAATATATATTTTGCTGATTACAATTATTTTTGTGTTTTTTTCGGTAAATCCGTGTTCCTCTTTTGTAACGATCACTGCAATAATCATGCAAAAGATGCTAGATTTATTTCAGTTAATTATATCTTCGTGTATACCGATGCTAACATGTCACGTCCAGCACGACGATCCAGCGCAAGTATAAGATAATGAGAGGTATGGGAAGGACTTGATTCCGGGACCCCGTTAGACTGCTAATTGGCATTAGAATGTAGAACGACAATGAGCGTGTTATTCATCCGATAGAATCTCCATGTCGCGTCGTCGTGAAAACTCCACCGTGATTATCCATAGATGTCGTCATCACGGAACTTTGATCCACCGCGTTGTTAACGAAACTTGTGATCAACCATTCGACCTGATTTTGTTATCCACGGGATAATCATCTGATTCTCTATTCGTGCGCGCGCACACATCTTACGCGACGTGACATCGAGAGCGTCAAATTCCCGTTGCATAGAACGCAAAACTAGGCCGTTCAGCACGCAGCGTGACGCTTTTCCGCGGAGTCGCAAAAATAGTCAATCAGTGATGTTTCCTGAAATTGCGGCGAGCACCCGAAGCAATATTAATTCAGTCGATCACGGAGGCTTTTTCCATGCGATATAGTAGAGTCCACACTCGTCTTTCTCTAAGGAGCTGTAAGACATTCGTTGAATTATGGCGGACGTACTTCTACGGTCGATTGAATTACGACGTGTACAGGTAACTCGAGAAGTGGACATTTACGAGTCTACAGGATTTACAGAACCATCGAATGAAAGATACGAATTTTTATTATTGCAGCTTTAGTCTATCAACGTTATGAATCTTGAATGAATTAAATAATGGTACCTAGGTTATTATATTTGCTTCTACACTAAAAGAATATTGATACTGTGGGTTGTTAAAAATTTATCAAAAAGCATTATATTTTGAGATGTTCAACTTTGATCGGGATTAAATTAAGTTCAGGATTATCAGCCCTTTTAAATGACGACATTGAATCGCTCAGTTGTTTTGGAACGTCGCGAATAAAACTGTTTATCGGGAATCGAAGATAACGACATGATGTTGGAATTGTCAGCTGATTAAGGATGCCAAAGTGTCTTCATTGATCGCGAAGAATGCTAAATGTGACGAAAGTATTGATGCAGACTATTTAACGTTGGGCACCGGCTATTTTTTCAATGATGAGTAATCGAATTTCGAATTTGAAACAAAGAAGATTTTAATACTTTGTTCGCTCGTACTTTTAACATTGTACGATTGTCCAACACGAATATATCTGAAGAGCCTCTCTTACTCTCGTGTATCAATTCGCAGCGTTAAGTAGTTCGAGTAATGATTTTTTTCCTTGTCATTAAGTCCAATTTGTTCCGATTCTGCAGTCAGTTGAATCTCATTCGCGGACATGAGATGTGAGCGAAATTGCATTTGCCTCGAGACATATCTTTAGTATATTCCGCGATATTTTCGCGAGGCTGTTACTATCTCACCTTCGAGTTGCGATCTTCGATTTACCACGAGGTGACCTTGATCAAAGTTTTATCACAAAAAAACCAATACAAATTTTCTTCGCAAACAAATTTTCTTATTAATTATTTCTGAGTTGGAAAAATATTTTCATAAAGTTGCAAGATCGAACAGTATCAGACTGAATTATGAAAAGATAGACAAGAAACAGACGGTGATGAATAATATCAGACGTAATGGGGATATAAATTGCGCATTTTCCAATTTTAGCATCTGTGCTCCTTTAGAAAGAATTGAATCATTTCAGCAGCGTTTTTTTTTTTCAACTTTATCTCCCTTTATCTTGATATATTGAAGAGAAAAAGCGATGTGATTCAAGCTACTTCATTTTTTCTAAATCGATAGTGATAACTTTATAGGAATGCGCAATCTATTCTTATTACGTCTATGGAAAATATTTACGTTGAATTATAAGATATTTATAATCAAGGATTTTTTCAGTAGTAACGATATAATCGATACGTTCGATGTATCTTACAAGCATACAAGCCTTATTGAAACACTTATTTTCCTAGCATCCATAAATATTTTCCTAAAGATACTTATATTGTAATTATACTGTGACGCGATAAGTTTTTCTTTTTTAATAATCATGCGACATGTAGTATCGTTTGTGATACGTAATATCTCGGCACTGCAAAAAGTTAGATCTACTATCGCGTTGCAAGGAGATACATTTGCATCGAACCGAAATGCAAAAACAGTAACACTCGGCGATAGCATCAGAGTTGACGATTTGGTGCAAATCACGCAATACAGCTTGAGATAAAATGGATTGATCAATGAGTAAAAGAAAAATATTAGCCACTGGAAACGGTGCTACGTGCATCGGTAATAACACGCTGACAGAAAGTTTCGCAACACTGCACAAAACTTGGTAATAGCATTCGAAAGTAAGCGGATTTCTCATGTGAATATCGACGACGTAGTGTATCTTTATTTCGAAAACAGAACAATTCGCAGTCAGTTTACAAAATTTATTTCGCGCGCGCGACGTTAGATCTTTAGCACCGAGACCGAAGTTAAACCCGAGAACAGTTGCTCCGAGTCACCGTGACCCAAGCTATTACGTTTTCACCCTGCATACGCGCGTGTGCCAAGTGCATGTGCATATAAAGTCGATACCGTAGCTAGGGGTTCGTTAGGTTACCACACGGGGCGATTTTTCATTCCTGGCTTCTAGGGAAACGTTTCTAAACGGCTAGCGAGACAAAGAAATATCGGAGTATATTATTTATCTCCTTCTACCTTCTGATGTTTCCGAAATTGTAATATACTGTACACAGAAACAACAATTTTGCTGAAGAATCTGTATATAGATCTGAAAATAATTTTGTTGAATCATTAAAATAATTTTGTAGGAATTTCAAGCACGATAAGAAATGCTGTAAAAAGTTTTGACATTCAGTTTTTAAACGTTCTACATAATAATTTCTATGATCCAACAAAATTATTTTCAGATCTGTTTCTAACTAAATTTTTAGATTCTTTAGCAAAATCGTTTTTTTCCATGCAGTAAAAATTGAAAAATTATTTTATTAATTATTTTTATAATTATTCCACAGCGTGAATGCACAGTTATGTCTTATATTATCAAGAAATGTTTGAAAGAATTTCATTTTCGCTGTTTTTGATTCAACGAAGTGAGTTTTTCTCACGGTAATTACATCTTATCTCCTGTTTTAAGTAAGATGTAAAATTACAATTTAAAAATTAGTAGAGAATTGACATATAACATTCTACAATACATGCGAGAAAGTTAACTTCTATGAAGAATACAATTATGTGTT